CCCCCTTGCACCCAGGGCCTGTGCAGCACTGCCCCCCACCCCACCTCCTTGTACCCAGGGCCCGTGCAGCATCGCCCCACCATGCCCATGAAATACACGTCTACCTTCTCTGCACAACAAAAACTTTGCTGATTATCTCCAAGGACTAAAGGTGCAGGCCCCACAGGGCCTGTGAACGTGAGGGACGAGAGTGGCAATAAAATCCTTCCCTGGGGCTGCCCTGGTCACACTTTCCTCCTCAGTCCAGGCCCCCTCAGTTCCCTGCCTGGTTTCTCCCATGTTTCCTGGAAGAGACCCTGCCCTGCATATGAACTGGTGAAGAGGCCCCACTCCAGGCAGTACTGGGCAAGAGCCCCCCCCCAGTGCCTCAGCCTCTTCCTACTCCACCTTTCCAACTGAAGGGGGGCAGCACCCAAAGGAGAGTTCCCTTGCTGTTTCAGTGAGCCTGTTACTAGAAAGGGGGCTGCCCCACACATGTGGGTATGGGAATGGACTGTAGACGTTCACCCCATCCCGAAGCAAATGAGGGAAGAATTCCAGTCCTCTCCCTTCTCTACACATGGGTGGGGAGACAAGGTTGGGGGTGGCACACATCTTTGCAGCACCAAGAGCGCTGTAGCAGACTCATGTTCCTCACCTCTCTTGGCCGGGTGTTTTCCCCCTCAGATTGTCATACATGTCACAGATCTTCTGCTTTCTCTCCTCCATCAGGGCCGGCCGCTCCCCCTCCAGGCTCAGGAGGTAGCGCCTCTCGTAGTCCTCCACATCCAGGAGGAGGCTGTACGTCTGCATGACACGCAGCCGGATCAGAGCCAGCCACAGGAACCCCTGCTATCCCCCACAGCTAGTCAGGACAGGGAAGCCACTGCCTTCCGAGCAGACTCAGAACCAGAGTGTGCTGCTGGATCAGCAAGCCCTGTAGAGAGAGTGCTGTCGATCCCCAGAGTGGGTACAGCATGGGCGGCAGCAAGCTGTCAGTGTGCCTCAGCCCCAGCCTAGAGAAGCCATCATTCTCTCCTTGGCCTGGCTGCTGAAGCAGGCAACGAAGAGGGAAGGTGTTTCCATTGTTTGTTATGAGCTTCGATTAGAGCAAGAAGTAAGGCAGTGCCTGGAGAGTGAAGAGCATGCCCAGCTCAGCACAGGGGTCTGGGAAGGGGGTGTGGCTTACTGGGGACACATGTCCCCATCCCCAAGGGGCAGCCGCTGCACTTGGGTTTGGCAGCTCCCCTGGAGCACTGGCCTGGTTCACTCTTGCTGCGGAGCAAAGGGTGGTGGTGTATGGGGGTCTCATCTCACACTCACCTTCTCAATGGTGACGAGGGTCTGACGTCTCTTGTCTCGAACCAGCTTCTCCTTCGTCTCCTAGGGAAAGAGAGCGAGGCGGGCCCAGGTGGAGCACAGAACAAAAAGCAGTGTCAGAAAGGAGAGGATGGGGAGTGGAGTGAGCGAAGAGAGAGGAGGACCGAACCCCGGGTGGAAAGAAAGGGCCCAGGCTGTGCACGGCAGCCACGTCTGCTGTTACTTACATCGTCCTCGCTGCGGGAGGTCACCACCGCGTCAATCATTTTCCGGGGGTTATTTACACTGGAGACTGTGAGCTTCCCCAGCGAGCCCTCAAACTGCACTGAAAGGACAAAGGAATAGCAATGTGGATGGAGTCATCACCCCAAGCCTCTGCTCCTCTATCCACCCCAGAGAAATCTTACACGCAAACTCCTCCAGCTTCACCCTGCCTCCGCACCAATGCCCCAGAGAACCCTGATCTCTCCCTGCCCTCCCCAAGCAATCCCTGCAGCTGTTCCTAACGCCAACCCTCTCCAGAGCGAGTCTACAGCGGTTCTTCTACCCCCAGCCCCATGACAGGTAACTATCCTCCACCATTAAAAGAACAGTACAGCTAGGGAATGAGATGCTATTTGACGACCAATACATTACCACAGGTCTGTCAATTCCCTGATGGCCCATGAACCCCCTACCTCTCCCCAGCCCAGGATGCGGTTTGAGGGAGGGGACATTTACCTGGCTTGTAGGCATGCTCTAACTTGGCCACCTGGGGTGTGATGAGTTTAGTACGTTCTTTCTTGGGGCCATCGCCGTGCATCTCCTCTGCCGCTGACACTTTCTCCAGCTTCTGGAAGTAATTCTGAGACAAAAGGGAAGAGGAGGAGGTGGTGGTGGTGGTGGTGGTGGTTGTTAGGATCCCAGCACAGAGAAACCATGGGCAGCTTGGCCCCAAGAACCAATGGGCCATCACACACAGAGTCCTGCAGCTGGTGGGGCTGACAAGCCAGCCTGAGTGGATGTAGGCAGTGTAGTGACACAGGTGTAAGGGGTGAAGGGTGAGTGTTGAAGCACAGTTACAGAGCCAGCTAACAGCATCATACTGGGAGCTCAGCTGCAGCCACCCTCCCAGCAGTCACTTATCTGGGGGTGCAGGTACTGCAGACAGGGGATTAGCACAGTAGGCCAGTAGCCACTGGGACAGCCAAGCTCATCCCTAGGTGGAAGCTAGGTCAGGATGGCTCTATTAGTGAGTGCAAAGCATTTACCTGATAGTAGAAGTCATCCAGGTAAGGGTCAGTGCTTTGCAACTGCATCATCTGGATCTTTGATACCCAGTCCTTTTCCCGCTGCAACATGAGATTGGCATAGGGGTCCTTCCGCAGCTGCTCCTGATGGCTGCTCCGGTGGCCGGCTCGGTCCCCTGCCGAGCCATTCAAACTCCGGTGCTGGCTGGTGGGAGGACCCATAAAAATTCAGAAGATACAGAAAGGGCACAGTGGAGAAGAGACATGGATAACAGCCTGCACTGCAGGATGGCTCGAGAGGCCACGCCCAACTGTGGGGAGCAGGAACTCCTAGGAGACCCCCAAGGGGTGTGTGTGTGTGTGTGAGAGAGATCCTCCTTCTCTGGCACTAGAACCCAGGTGAATCTTCTCATCTCGCAGTGGAGTTCATTAACCCCCCCCCCCCCCCCCCAAACGCAGGTGATACCAGTACTCACTTCCTGTTCTGCTGCTGTCTCTGATGTAAGAGCCGCCGATGCTGCGGGTGAAGGTGAGTTGTATCTGGTCTGAACATCTGCGGGTGAGGCCTAGAGAAGAGAGTTGTAACCTCAGGTCTGTCATCTCCAGAGAAAGTCAACAGAGACTCTCAAACTTGGTGCAGTGAGCTCAATGATGGGAGACAGAGGATAAGTGTCGTACCTTAGGTTCTGCAAGTGGGACCCAGGACATGGGGGGTGCTGCTGCTGGGATGGGGGTGGCGCGGAAGGCGGTGGCGCCCCAAAAAAGGCACGGAACCCACTGGCTGGAGACATCATCTGCCCAACTCTGCCTTGAAGCAACTTGGGGTTCATGGATGTGAGGGGGCTGCCAACGAGTCCAGAGACACGAGCAAACTGGCTAGGAGACATTCGTCCAGCCTGCAGAGATGGGGGGGGAGGGGAGAGAGACCACCACAAACGTTACCACTATGACAGAGAGAGTGGGACAGACAAGACTGAGTGGCACAGCTCTAGTCATCCGGGCGGAGCAGGCAACGGGAACCACCAGCAACTGTCTGAGAAGGAGCAGCACAGAGACAGCCATGCAAAGGCAGAACAGAGGACACAGACACCAGAGGACAACGCAGCGCACACAAGGTGCTGTTGAGGAAAGACGGAGAACAAGAGGGAATAGTCAGAGCTTTACCTGTGCTCCTCCTAGAAGCTGCGCTCTCTGAAGGTGGGTGAAAACGGGAGTGACGCTGGGAGGGAACGGGTGGCCCAGGAGGGAAGAATTCTGGGGAAAGAAAACGGAAGAGCAAAAAGGAAACACTAATTCTAAACAAAGAACCAATCAACCCAACATGGACATTCAGCAGGTGCATGCTCCAGATACACTGGGATCAGAGAGAAAACAAGAGACCACAGTTACACCCAGATAAGTAACAGAGAGGCCAAGAGATAGGCACATGAGCTTCCAGCACGTGGGATACACCCGGACCTGAGGGGAACGGGGAAAGGGAAAGAGGTGCTGAGATCTCTAGCTGACAAATGGAAGTCAGAACATTAAACACAAGATGATTTCCCTTTAAGAAATAGTATAGACACAGAAGCCTGGATCTGTGGAAGGGAATGGCATTATAGGAGGGATCAGAGGACAAGTGTGATGGTTATGGGAAAGGACTTCAGAATTACTGAGACAGAGTGAGAGGCCCAGGGGTGAAGCTGATGGAGAATGGACTTTAGGGATGATAGAAGGGACGGTTATTGAGGGCGGGGGACCTAGAGAGTGAGGGGTCAGGCTGGGAATACACAGAGCATGAGACACTCCATACCGGGACATTGCAGAGCTGGTTTGGGGACATCCTCTCGCCATAGGGGGAAGGATAACGCTGTTGCATCGGGGCCCGGATGTGAACAGGCTTTGGACACAGGATCTATCAGGAGGGAGAAACCAAAACAAGGGAACTGATCGTAGTCCTAGAAACTAGCTTCCCCTTTCTTTGCCAACATCTGCCAGGCAGCTCCTCCCACAGAGTTGTCACCCAGGGCTCACTCACGGAGCAGAATGCAGACCAGCCTGCAGTGTGCCATATGTAGAGCCCCTCCACCTCCCCCAATTCCCCGTCTTGTGGTTGAGGGGGAACCCCCAGTACACACAGCAGCATCAGCATCTTCAGACTGTTTCTTCCGGAGGAGACTCTGGCCGGATAGCATCTGGTTTTGGGCAGCAATGCTATGTCCCTCCCCGTCTGCCAATTGCTGGCATGTGAGAGCAGCATATGAAGGAGGATCATGCAGGCTCCAGGCACAGTTGTGGCACCTAAAGGACAGAGCAGCTAAGAGGACAAGCCTACCCATCCTACCATTAATCTCTCTTCTCCACCTATCAGCATCCAGGCACGCACTCAGCTGTGTTGCTGCTCTAAAGATTGTGTGGTGGCAAAAAACTAGTGGCAGGCTCCCTTAAGCTGTCCTAAAAATTTCAGGGTCTTCACCTTCTGGGGGCCTCCCTTTCTCATTTCTACTCTGCTCCTTCCTGGAAACACCTCCTTTTCCTGAAACAATGGTGACCAGATCCAGCTCCTGCCAGAGAAGTGTGAAGGGCAGAGGTACCTGCTGGTTGAAGTTGGGCACGGCGGCCTGCTTTGGTGGGGTGCCGATGGGGACAGCCCTGACAGGGGGGCTCCCAATGACTGGGGAGGACGAGCGCCTGGGCAGTGCCCGCTCTGAGAGGTCCCGCTCATCCTCCTGGCCCTGCGGGGGTCTCTGAGGCATAGCATATTCCAGCACAGACACCGAGGGCATCTCCTGCACACGGGAGGAGGGGAAAACACAGCTAGTGGTTAGCTACTTTGAATTGTGTGTAGTTTACCAGCTTGCCAGTGGGGCTCGGTGAGAACAGAGGCACAGCTAGAGCAAGGAAATCTGCCTAATGAGAAACGGGGAATATGGTCAGGAAAGCAAATGCTCTCTGGGGAGCTTCAATGTGTCACTTGCAGCTATGATCTACTGGGCAGGTGTCCTGGCCTAGAGTATGAAACTCTAGGCTGGAAGTCAGGTGACTGAGTTCTATCTGGGATTCTGCCACGGATTCACTGCAAAGCAAAGAACAAGTCACAACCTCTGTCACCACATCTGTCACTAGAAAACTCTGCAAAGTGCTGAGAGACTCAGGGAGAACAGAGCTGCATGCTATGTATTATTGTTCCATCTGCTGCCTTTCATGGCAGTATACATATTTTTGCTACTTTTTAGCCCTACTAGCCCTGCAGAGCCAGCCCAGATGCAGAAGAATTAGTTGGACTCTATTCTGGTTCAAGGATCAACATTCTTAGCTAAGTTGTGATGGCAGAATCTTTATCTCGAGTAGTTCACATCAATTTAACTACTCCTGTAACATCTCTCAAACGGGGAAGGGTTATTGGGGATAATACACAAGCAGGAAACAACCCAGCTTGGCTCGCAGATCCAAGGGGAAATTGGCGGAGCTGGCAGCTAAAAGACTATTTCTCATGAACAGATCATGTTTGATCTAGAGTCAGCAAGAAGTAAGTGCTGGCCCACCCTCCACAATACTATCTTAGAGTCACTTTACAGAGCAAAATGGCTCTTCATACTTCAGGGTCTAAGCTGGCTTTCCCAGAAGTCAAGAAGGAATCGCCCACCTGGCATGGGGTGCAATACAATAAGCTAAGTACATTATGGAAAACTGAAACTTTCTCTGATGCATCCACAACCAGCACCCCCGGGCAACAGCTTCATCCGACCAACAGGAAGCAGGACACCAGACAAAAAGGGCTAGTGGTCTGATCCAGTGCAACAGGACACAGAACTGGCAAATCTTATGCTCCTGGAGATGACAAAAGCTTCTGCTCTGCTCAGGAAAGGGATTCCTGAGGTGGGAGGAAAATGTCTCCCCTGAAAGCCTCTGAGCTCCCTTTGCAGGATTAGTAACGAGACAGGACACGGCACCTGAGTGAGAAGTGGTCCTCGGATGCGCCTCAGAACTGCGGATCCATCCCAGATGCTGGAGTTGAGGCCTCCTGGCTGCTGTAAGAGAGAGTATGATGAGTTACCATGGAGAGGACTCTCCTGTCTTTCCATCCATTCCATGCAGCCAGGCTCCTCCCCTACCAATACTGCACTCACCTGCATTGGAGGCTGGGTTTGCACAGCCTGCATGATGGCTGGATCTTCCAACTCGTTCTCAATGACCAGCTTGCTCAGCCTCTCGGCCAGGTTCTCCTCATGGTGCCCCAGCAGGTCCATCTCATCACTGACCGCCCCATCTTCCAGCTCTCTAGCTGTCGCAGGCTTGTCTTCCAGTTCTGCAAGCCGTTCATGTGCCTCCTGCCAGTCATCATCTGCAAAGGAACCACAGAAAGGAAGCGGGGCTGGCACCTTAGTGCCACTCATTTATTCCACAGCCAATTACACCTCCCAGGCACCAATGGACTGGAACAGCAGGGAATGCTGGGGCTCAGGACTGAGGGACATCAGCAGAGCTATGGGTGGAGCAACCCAGAATTGGAGCTGCAGGGGTGGGGTGGTTAAGGGCAGGACTGAGGGGATTTCCATCCAGATATGGCATTCCCTGAAGGAGAGCTGGGGGCAGAGACGAGGAAGGGGAAATGAATGGGAGATGCAGCTCTCACCAATAGCACCGGCTCCAAACGTGTCATCGTTGAACTGGTCGATATCTTCATCCTCCTCGCCCAGGGTCTGAAAGGCATCTTCATCTTCATCCAGAGGACAGTCCTCCAGGGACTTGGAAAAGAGCAAAGAGAGAACAATGAGCAGGCCTCCAGATATGCCACAGTTTTATTTGCCCTACCAGCATCACCAAAGTGGGCCCAAAGCTGGGGCACCGAGTCTGTCTGTCTGAATCCTTTCTTGGAGATTGTCTCATTTCCCTATACCAGCACATCACAAATGTGGCCCTTTGGAGGAAAAAGAGAGACATCACCTCCAGCACACACAAAACGTAACTCCTCAGACAAGGCACCCCACAGCAAGCGTGTCCCAAGACACCCCCACACATCCAAACTGCACCCATGACCATCAGACAAGGTACCTCTGCCTAAGCATGGACTAAGTGCATCCCCACAGGTAAGGCGTCATTCCCCTTCCACATACCCATTACACACACCCTCTTTACTAAGCATGCCTCCTTAAATGAGGCAATACCACCCCCGAGATAAACATCCTATTTCAAGCACACCTCCTCTCACAGCAGGAGGGGAAGGACAATAGTCCAGTGGTTAGGGGGCCAGTCTGAGATCAATTTCCCTGCTCTGCTACTGTGACATCTTGGCAAGTCACTTAGTCTCTCAGGGCCTGTTCACCATCTATGTAAAGGGGATAATAGCACAGCCCTGCCTCACATGGGTGCTGCAAGGATAAATACTCTAAAGATTGTGATAGTGACGGGAGCCACATAAATACAAGGGATAGAAGGAACCTTCCTCCCCCACCCACCCATGACAGACCAAGCACACCCCCATAGTCCTCCCATGTACCCCCCTCAAACATGGCATTCTACATACACCATGCAACAAATACACCCTACAACTATGACACACGTACCCATGCCTCCAGGCATGGACCAAGCATGTCCACTCAAATGCCTTCCCCACCCAAGACAGCTGGGTAAGAAACAAGTGTGCCCCTAGCCCCGGTTCCCAAACACATAATGGCCAGCAGGCACTTACTACCCCATACCATCCATTCAATCACATTTTCCCTCAAGCTGTTCCACTCTCAGGGCCCCACCAGCCAGGCACATAACTCTTCAGATAACATAGCATGTGACAGAATAGAATCAATCATCATCAAGCCCAATCTGATGGGCCAATATCCTGGGCATCCTCCCAAACCAACTTCTGATCCCAAGCTGGTGCACCCATATCCAGAGTAGCCATCTGAATATAGTTCTGAGGCACACATACCCCACATGCACACTATACTCAGAAAGGCTGCCCCTGGGCCTGTATCCCAGTAGTTCCTGCTCTGAGAGACATGTCCCCTCCATATCCTATATCTACCTCCCTAAGAAAGACACCACAGCCCAAATCCGGGATGTGCTCTGGCCCATACTCTACATGGCATCCCCAGCCTATAGCAGAGAGTCTCTTTAACTCCAGCCCACACTCTGTGCAGTCCCATCTCATAGAGGCAGCCCCAGCCTGTCCGACATGCTGCCCCCTTCTGAGAGATGCCCCAGCCCACACCCTGTACATTTACCTTCAGAGCCCCCTACTCCAGCCCGCAATATCTGTACCCTGTGTGTGCCCCCCTGCCCGTGCCTGCAGAGCCCATATACCAAGCAGTCACCTTAGCCAAGCATTCCAAGCGCCAGCCTGCTAAGTGCATACCTAGCTCTGCCCCTCTGAAACAGCCTCCATCGCCAAACAGCTCCAGCACAGGGAGGTCTCCTGGGCACCCACTGAGTGTGACCTTCTCAAACACTCACCCCCACTCCAAGATGGGAGGGCCTCCCCCTTGGACAAGCATCCCACAGACCCATAGTCCCCAGCCCCAGAGAGAGAGAACTCCCTACTCCACATCCCTTTCTGACCCATGCCCTTGGCATCCCCTTACCCTCTCCACACACATACAACCCACATTGTCACGTACCCAACCATGCACCCTGCAATAGAGGCTCCTCTTGACCTGTAGCCCTTCGCCCCCACAACGAAACCCCTCTCTAAGTTATGCCTCCTGCACACCCTCCACACTACAGAGACCCTCCAGCCCATACTCCCCCAAAGATACCTCCCACCCCATGCCTCCCAGAGACCCCCCAGAACTCCATGCCCCCAACAGAAACACCCAGCTCATGCACCCCCCAGACACACACCCTGAATCCCTTCCCCTCGACATACACCTGCCAGTCTATACCTTCCCCGGCATATCCCCCCCACAACACACACCTCAGCCCACACACCCCAGAACCCCATGTCCCCCCACACTCCCCCTGTTCATGTCCCCCGAACTCTGCACCCCCCAGACACCCTCCCGGCCCGTGCTCCCCAGAACCTTGCACCCCCCCAGACACACCCACAGCCCATGCCTCCAAAACCCTGTGCCCCCGCGAGCCCTAGGCCACCCAAAACACACCCTGGCCCATATCCCCCCAGAACTCCGTATCCCCCAGACACACACCCCGGCCCCATCTCCCCTTAAGACATATCCCACCCCGTGCCTCCCACAAAGACCCCCGTCCGGCCCGTACCTCCCCAGATACACCCCTCCGGCCCCAGCCCCGCCCAGACCCCCGTGCCCCCCCCCGCCACACCCCCGGCCCGTGCCCGCCAGCCCCGCCGTGAACGAGGAGGAAGTGGGGGCTCTGGAAGGGGGGAGAAGTGACCCAGGGACTGGGGTCAGAGGTCAAAGGTCGCAGCCCGGGTGGCCCCTCACCTGGTAGCGGAACATGGTGAGCGGCGCGGAGACTCCCACCGCCAGGGAGGCCCCGCGCGGACCCCGCTCCGGCTCCGAGCCCCCGCCCCTCGATACGCACGCTTCGCCGTCACGGAACACGTACATGACGTCATCCCGCAAGTCCCCCCCCTCCCATCCGTGGGGCCAGAAAGAGCCGATGCGCAGGCGCGATACGTCTAGCGGCCCCGCTTTTGCCGTTAAAGAAACAGCGCCGGGGGTGTCTTAAAGGGGCAGTGTCTCTTTCCTCTCCCATTGACCACAGCACTGAGGCTGGGGGAGGCCTCTCTAGAGACAGGCCCAGCTTTACACCGCCACTGTTTTGCCCCAGCTCTGTGGGCAGCCTCACCAGCCTCCACAAAACTGGGGCTGGCACCAAAGCCCCACTCCCCCAAAGGACAAAGCCGCCCGGCCAAAGGCCCCGGGTCTCATCGTCCACCCCTGGCCTGGGGTCTCTGCGGGGGCTGCTGAGCACTGTCAGGAGGCCTTGCACATGGGGGTACCCAGCCCCACCCGTGTGCCACGCTCCCCTGCAGCACTGCTGCGGCATGGGCAGAGCTCACGTGCCCCTGAACCCTTCGCTCGGTTACCCCACCCCAAGGTTACTTCGTCCTGCCCTTCTCCGGGACCCCCTGTCCTGAGGTGACCCCCTGCCTCCTGCAAGTCTTCCTTCCAACACGGCTTTCAGGGGTCATCTTCCTCCTCCTCCATTCTCACCAGGCTCTTGCTGCGAAGAAGTGAATTAAGAAAACCTTGGGCTGCTCTCCCCCTAATCCTACTGTGTATCTATCTATCTACACCCCTGCTACCATCTATCTATCCCCATACACCCCCTCTATCTATCTATCTATCTATCTATCTATCTACACTCCTGCTACAATCTATCTATCCCCATAAACCCCCTCTATCTTTCTATCTAATCTATCTATCTATCTACACCCCTGCTATCTATCTTCATATGACCATACAGTCCTATCTCTCTCCCTTTCTCTCATATCTATGTCTACCTATTGTCATACACCCCTCCCCCCCCCCCCCCCCCCCCCCCCTTTTTCCGCTTTTTTTTTCCCCCCCCCCCCCCCCCCCCCCCCCGTGGGTTTTTATAAGGTGGAGTCCTCAATTCCTCCTACGATTGCCTACCCGAGGCTAGGGCTTAGGGAGACGATGTTTGGTGGCACTAGAAAGTACGGGTTGTCAGTCAGTCTGGGAGCTGGAGCACCAGAGCAAACAGTGAGGCCTATCTCAGGCAGGAATCCCGTTGTTATCTGTTACAGCCAGTGAGTAAAGTGTGCTGGGTCATGAAGGGGCACAGATCCAACAAATAAAATTTCGAAGATGGGCGCACATTTCAGGCTCACTGGGGTGGTGGGGAAAATCCCCTTCTGATTGGCTGCTTTCCCCACTTCCCCACCTCCTGGGGAAGAGCATCAGGGTT